AGCTGACAATATATCAGACTTTTATGATAAAATTTTGAGTTCGGATGCTATGCATATTCCGGAGTGACCAATATAACATCCTGCCTTATGATCCTGTACTCTTTCGGCATACTATGTAAAGAAAGAAGCTTCATGTCAAAACACCAATTGTATCTTGAAGGGAAAGCGAATGTCCATGATGTTGCCGATCATTTACCCAAATAACCATTATAGAGGGCGTCGGACCCCATCTATGTCTTGGCCAGACTCTTCAGTGGTGGACGGACTCGTTTCTTGGCTGGCGGACGGAGGGAGCTCCGCGCGATATCACCTGGTGTGAGTGTTTAGCATAAGCGCCAATCCACGAGTCAGAAGTGCCGTTTTTCATGTTGGGTCTCGCGTTCTATGAGCTCTCTCCTCAATTTAATCTATTCTTCGCCAAATCTAGACGGCGATATGGAAAGCATCCGCACGTGGAAAATGTCTCTATGCCCTCTGGCTGTGTATTCGCTCCGCTAAATGCCAAGAGCTCGAGCTGATGCTGAAACGCACCATAGGATGTCCGAGACAGCACCGGTGGACCGCACCTCGTCTCGAGTAACGCCGATCTTTTTAAGCGACATTTGCAGGATGTCTGGTAGTGTTTATGCTATCGTGTTCTCAACGTCCTTGTCCAGAAACGACTGTGTTGTGTAGAAATCCATCCGGCTGTGGGTTGTGTCTGTTTGGAATATCCATAGATGTCAAGCCATGGTGTTCAAACAACCTGGCAAGTAGCTCAGTCCTTTCTGATAGAACAGGGATTATTCTAGACGATGTTATAGCTGATTTTTCTCGAGCTGTTGTAGACCAGAGCATCGTCACATAGACTTGCCAACAATGAAATACAGTCTGCGTATGAACGACTTAGATGAGATGCATAACACGTTGATAATAAAACCTAAAAACTTAGGCTGCACCGGCTTATAACTGCAAGGATGGAGCTGACGCAAGGGCCATGATGCTTTTGCTAATGCTGTGAGGTTCTAGGAACCCAATTAGTCAGTCTATGAAGATACTGGCGATAGAATTGAATGACATTTAGTCACAGCCTCATCGTAGCAAAAGCCTTACAAGAGATCCCACGGTTCCTGAAGCTGCAGCCTTCAGTAGATCCTCCGAGATCCTCAATGATGGGAACAATCGGCCCACCTGTCAAAATAGATACAAGAGCATGGGTCGGGAAATGCCGACGGCATGAGGATTTCCGAACGCAAGAAAGGAGGAATGCCAGGGATTGCAAAATAAACGCCGAACCGAGCCAGACTCGCCGCCCGAAACTAGACCATCATTCCGTCCACTCTCGGCATTCTTCTTCACATTTCCCCTAGATCTCGGCAAAACTGCTGCATGGGTGTATACTTTTGACCCCCAGTTGCTGATACTAAGCTGCAGTACGATTGATCGCATTCGATCGTACCTATCTATACTCATGATGAATCCTTGCAAGACAGATTATAGCTACGAGTTCGATGGTGTAGGCATGCTGGTGGCTCATACAAGCCAAATTTTCAGTTGCAGTAGTCAGGAATATCTTACGGCCAAATCTTCTGTTCATATCCCACCAGTCTCAAGGGCCCTGACTAACTCTTAGAACTTCTTCTATTATTCCCGTCGACGCTACTCGAATGCTGCCTGGAATAGCAAAACTGACGAGACTGAGGATGCCATGCACACAGATCAATGTCAACTACGTTCAGGTCCAGAATACCTACTCATACCCCTGTATTTGTCTCAGTCAACTATTACGCTTCATTTCGGCAAATCCCCTCGGTTTCACAACCCCTTGCTTCAGCATGCAGCCCAATCCTCGTGGCGAAGGCGAGACAGAAACTGGGAGCAGTAATCCTAAATATTGCACTGCTGCAGAGTTGATTACCTTATTTTAATAATAAGGAGCACTGCCTACTTCCGCGGGGGCAAAAAGAGTGGGGTGGCAATATATATGGCGCACGCATCAATACCGAATGGAGGCTGGGTCCGGACCCTGCAGACGCATTCCCAACCATCCTGCGCTGCACAAATGATCGACAGGGCATCTTCGGCAAGCAGAAGGAACCCCGCAAAAGCTACGTATTGCCATTGCTCAGGAACCCGCTAATTAAGACACAGACATGTGGCTTTTGGTGCCCGTGCGCCCCTAAGCCACAGCCCGACGGGGGCAGCAACCCTGATGCGTCCATTGATTGTTATGGTCTTGTCCAACATAACAGGGATTTCTGGCCGCACACGATGCCCAGCAGCCCACCATATCTCGGCTGAGCGTGTTGACATGTGTTGAATTCAGTTTCCGTAGGCAGACGTCCACTAGATTGAATTTACTGTATGACAGACATTCGTGACCGAAACCGTCTCATTCACTGTCTACCATTGTAGTTATGTTTTGTACATAAGACACAAAAGGAATGCCTTCAATCATGGCAAGAAGGAAACTTGGGAATTTGTGTGTTACTACTGTCTTCCTTTGCTCCGAACCCTCTCCCCTTGTATACACTGTCCCTTGAAGGCCCCTATGCCTTCATACGCCACCACAATAGCAGCCATCGCGGCTTTCCTGCTCTCGCAGCCCGTTATGGGCTCGGGGCAGAAAAAGACCCCCTTTGGATGGGGTACTCAGTCGCTTGCTCACTTTGGTATTGACCCAGACCTGGGGACACACAATGAGCAGAACCTCAATACTCTCGTTTCACATTCAGCGATGGCCGTTGCGTTGGAGACTGAATATGTCACCGTATGAAAAGCACCAGTCTGGCTCTTTGTTCCTATCACTAATCACGATACTCAGATTCCTCTTGACCATGACAATGCATCGGCTGGCACTTATCAAAATCGGTTCTGGGTCAGCGATGAATTTTATGAGCCAGGCAGTCCGATATTTGTGTATGATACAGGGGAGGCGGATGGCGAATCGGTAGCCTCAGCCTACCTAACTTCCACTCTTTCCTTCTTCCGAGAATTCTTAATAGAGTTCAACGCCATGGGAATCGCTTGGGAGCACAGATACTATGGAAACTCGACTCCGGCTCCCATATCCTATGAATCACCACCCGAGACCTATCAGTACCTCACCACCAAGCAGGCGCTCGCGGATCTCCCGTACTTTGCGAGTAACTTCAGCCGCGAGAAGTATCCGGACGTGGACCTGACACCGCAGGGCACACCCTGGGTCATGGTTGGCGGCTCGTACGCAGGGATCCGTGCTGCATTAACTCGCAACGAGTACCCAGAGACCATCTTCGCAGCCTATTCCTCATCGGCTCCGGTGGAAGCACGGGTGAATATGAGTGTGTACTACGACCAGGTCTACCGCGGCATGGTTGCCGATGGATGGACCAACTGCTCGGCCGATATTCACGCTGCTCTGGAATATATCGACGATCAGCTATCGGACGAAGATACAGCTACCTCAATCAAACAACTCTTCTTCGGACCTGGCGCCGAAGCCAACTCCAATGGTGATTTCACTGGAGCGCTAACCGCCATCTACAGCTACTTCCAGAGCTATGGTATGGCGGGAGGTATTGGAGGTCTGGGCGCATTTTGCGAGTATCTTGAAGTTGACCCCAAGACGAACGGGACTACCGGGCCGGATGGTCTTGCCCCTACGTATGGCGGCCAGTATGTCGTTGAACGATGGGCAGCATGGCCCACCTTCCTCGAGCTGGTCAATCTGAATATGGGGACCAACTGCGGACCTCAGAACGCTTCTCAGCCAATTGACTGTGATTTCTCCAAGCCATACGGCGATCCCGCGACCATCACTTGGACTTGGCAATACTGCAGCGAATGGGGATTCTTCCAAGCGAACAACGAAGGGCCACACTCGTTAGCCTCGCGATACCAGTCGGTGGAATACCAGCAAGAAGTATGTAACCGACAGTTCCCCGATGCGGTGGAGAAAGGACTGTTGCCTCCGTCACCGCGGGCGGATGAGGTCAACCAAGAGTTTGGAGGATGGACGATCCGGCCGTCCAATGTTTACTTCAGCGGAGGAGAATTCGATCCGTGGCGGTCATTATCCATTCTGTCTACGGACGATATCGCACCTCAGACGGTGGAGTTTACGAGCGCGATCCCAGCATGCGGGGTGCAGACAGATGAAGACACGGTCTTTGGATACGTCATGAAGGACTCGGAGCATTGCTTTGACTTTCAGGCCACACCGACCGTGGGTAAATTGTCACGCGGCATCTTCACATCCGCCCTGTTGCAATGGCTTGAATGTTTTGAACAGAATTCCAGTCAAACCAGGTGATTTGGGGGGGTGGCCAGGTGGGTGTGTGTTTGGGTTTTGCTGGCGCCTGGAGCCTGAAGCCTGGATAAAGAAGAGATGACGAGGTTGACCGTGGAGTGGTGGATCCTGAGATGCTACATAGTACTTTTAGAAAAGTACACGCGGGCAACAGAGATGCAAGAGAATGCCTCGGAGGTTTTAGATCAGCGGTTGGAATTAGCGTCATGTCCAAAATCCTGCGACGCAACAGCCGCTTTTCCGTTTTGGGAGATGCTTGCGATGTTTCCGAGTGCCGAAAGCATCTGGAATCGGAAACGACCCCTCGCAAGGTTGGCTTTTCCAATCATTTCCAGCCCATTGCGGCTTCTGACTTTCTTGCATCGCTGGAACCATCCATCCCTTCCCGTCTCTCCGCTTCGTCTACTTACTGACAGTGTGGCTATGGAGGCAGGGATACCCCATTCCTTCATTTCACATGGGGCCTCACGACCGAGGAGTTTGGTACTATCCCTTCTTCGCCAAGTGAATCCAAGTCTGGATCTCTCCTTGCAGGGTGAACTAGGACAAAGTATATAAGGTCTATGGTCGGAACCGGACTGCCCCTGTCGATTATCATACCTCTTTGTACATAACATTCACTTTAAAGTTATTTATCTCTCATCTCACATTGCTCAAATCACTCCTTTCCACTTCTCCATCTACTATCTAGGTTTCCTCCCCGCATTACTAGACTACCCGCAGTTGCGTCATGTTGGCTCCTGCGATTGTCTTTCTTGGTGCCATCTACTTAACCTTTCGCATCCTGGGCTCCCTCCATCAAGCTTACCACCATCGCAAGAAGTCCAAAGCTCTCGGCTGCCAGCCTCCTAGATCCGTCGATACCGGTATCCTCGGTATCACTGGCTTCTATCGCATTGCAAAGGCGGCCAGGGAGAAACGATGGGTTGAATACATTGCTGATCACTACCAGACGAGTGGACCGACCTTCCGTCAGCAGGCCTTGGGAGGGCTCATGGTCACCAACACTGTCGAGCCAGAGAACATCAAGGCACTGTTGGCTACTCAGTTCCAGGATTTTGGTCTCGGAACCCGGCATCGCGAGTTCTACCCGTTGCTTGGAAATGGTATCTTCACCTTGGATGGGCCGGGCTGGTCTCACGCGCGTGGCATGCTGAGGCCGCAGTTCACCCGCGACCAGGTCTGTTCATCCTACTAGTCTACCATCAATGAGAACTTATTGACGGATGAGAGCGACTAGGTTGCTGATCTCGACCTTATGGATGGCCACGTCACCAAGATGATGGACTTGATTCCCAAGGATGGGTCGACTTTCGACATCCAGCGCCTCTTCTTCCTCTTGACCATGGACTCGGCTACACATTTCTTGTTTGGTGAATCCGTCGGATCCATGCGCACATCCACTGAGTCGAGTCTGCTGGAGAAGTCCACTGTTGGAAACGCCCAAGGGTTCGCTGAGGCATTCAACCGGGCCCAAGAATACCTGGTTTCGAGATCCAGAGCCATGGCATTCTATTGGCTTGTTAACCCTAAGGAGTTCCGTGAAGCGAATCAGCTTGTACACGAGGTGGTCGATCACTACGTGCGCCTGGCTCTGGAGGCAAAGCGTCATCCCGAAAAGAAGGAGTCGGGCAGGTACATCTTCGCAGAAGCCTTGGCGGAGGATACCGATGACCCGAGAGTGATCCGTGACAACATGCTCAACATTCTGCTGGCTGGTCGCGACACCACTGCCAGTCTGCTCAGCTCGGCCTTTTTCTACCTAGCACGTCATCCTAATGTCTGGACCAAACTTCGCCAGACCATCGTCGACGAATTTGGAGACGCTAAACACCCCAACGGAAAGATCACGCATGCTAGACTGAAGGATACTCCATACCTGCGCTATTTCTTGAACGAAGGTGAGCAATAACCCCCCTCACCCGCCCCACCTCAGAATATCTCTTAACCAGACCAGTCCTCCGTCTCCTCCCCCCTGTGCCTCTAAACTTCCGTGTCGCCGCCAAAGATACTTCGTTGCCATTGGGTGGTGGGTCCGACGGGAAGGCCCCGGTCTACGTGCGCAAGGGAGAGCTTGTGTCGTACAGCGTATATGCAATGCACCGTCGCACCGACTTATACGGCCCGAATGCCCATGCATTCCGACCAGAGCGTTGGGAAGAGAACAGCAAGCGGGGTTGGGAATACCTTCCATTCAACGGTGGTCCACGCATTTGTCTTGGACGTAAGTCGCCTCACATATGTGCTCCAGTGAAGATTACTGACAATCGTTTCAGAGCAATACGCACTCACTGAAGCCAGCTACACCATGGTAAAACTGCTACAAAGGTACAACAGAATTGAGAATGCCGACCCTGATATGGTGGAGCCGATCATCAACTCCAGTCTCACGCTGTCGCATGACCGTGGTGTCCATATTCGGTTGTTTTCTTCGTAATTTGCCAGCACTGCTGGAATCTAACCACACCAATGGTTGTTCAAGCCGCCGGATGGCTACGACTTCTTTGCATGATGATGAGCTACACTTTTCATGCCTCGGGACATTCCCAGAAATGACTACATATACTAACCTGGATATTTTAATATGATGAGACTTTACACTACATACATCTTCAAGTGCTATTTCTAGTAGCTCGGTGATACTGTGGTGGAGACAACAAAGCAGCGTTGATACATAAGAACTATATTTCTCGTATACATGAGTATATCCTAGCTCCTCATAATATAGCAGTTATATTCATCTGCTATAATCAAATTACCAGTACTCAACTCGTAGTAATCTTGTTCTTATGAATTGAAATGCATGGCGACAACTCAAAAAATCAATTCATTGGCTAGTACTCACATTGGAAAGTAGTACTAGTCAGAAAGGAACGACAACTTCTTGTAATGGATAAGATTGTGATGGTAGCGGGATTTGGATCCGTGACTACCGAATAGAATACTCCCCCAAAGATCCACTCACTCATCTTTCTTATCACTTCACCACCACGACGCAAAAAAAAGCAAAAAAGAAAGCCCAACGCGGGGCTCGAACCCGCAGCCTTGAGATTAAGAGTCTCACGCTCTACCGATTGAGCTAGCCGGGCTAGTTCGGTGAAAGCTAAATTACAGTTATGCATAATATTCTTGCTTTTTCCTTACGGCGTACGCGCATGTTAGTTCCAGCCACAGGTTGCCGTGGCTATGCAATATGTGGCTGATCCGCATGCGTGCTGAGTCAGCCAATTTCGGCGGCGCAATTCCCTCCACCGAGATTCAACCTATCGCCATTGTTGACGTTGTCTCCAGTTCCATACCTGCTGCGTCAAGTGGACTCTTGGATTTTGAGATCCTTAGAATTTGATCAAACACACGACTCATAAAGAGACGTACTTTACTCTTAGTCATACGTGCATTCAATAGTCCAGCTTGCCAATTACCTAACTTGGACTGGATACACGTGCTGGCCTATCAGCTGACGATTGCTGGAACTTCCCTTCACTTCATAAATTGCGCTGGATTTTCGCATCTGGCTTTACTATAATTTACTATCGCCATCTTATTCTCACTGACAGTGAAAATGGCATCTGCTCCTAACCCCGGTCAAACACTCCCTAGACAGCCAGTGGTCGTGCCTGCCATGGTCCCTCCCTCGAATGGCGCTGAAGCCTCTACAGGGGCAGCTAGTGGCACTGACCCCAATCCTGATGCCTGGGACTCTGAAATGCAACTTGTTTCCTCGCTCGCGAAGCTTCAGAAGATGGAAGCAATGGTGAGTATTACTCCTTCCAGTCAAGCTCGACAGCAATTAACACTTCTGACAGATCCATCAACTACGCACTCTACTTCCCGAGCGCCTTCTGGAGCCCCTGGCACCCATTGTCAACCCCAAAGCCGCTGCGGGAAGATCCGTCCCCAAGTCCCCGCAAATGCTGTACGAGCAGCTGGCTCAAGCTGCGCGCGCGGGTGTCTCCGAGCTGCAAGAGTTTCAGTCGATGTGGAGAAGTCCCGAGATGAAAGCAGTCTGGGATCGCGTCGACGCGCAAATTAAAGAAAACGGCGGCGTGATGCTGCAGCCCACGGGGAAGTGGGAACGAGATTATGATACCATTCTCGCGGATCTCCGTGAGGAGGAGCAGGCTCAGAATGAGCAGCAGCAGAAAGCGAATGAGGAGATGGAGCGATCCAAGATCCAGGCTACTGAGGGTGGATGGAGAGCGATTGTGGACGGCTTTGCTCAGAAGAATGTGCCTGGTGTGCGGGTCTTGGCTAGTCAGAGTGAAGCGGCTGTTACTGTTGTGCTTGTCAAGGCTGGGATAGTGTTCAGGGTCGAGGCTATTGCTGGTCAGGATGGAAATGGGGTTCCTGATTGGCGGGTCTTTACTAGGACGCCGGGGGGTCAGACGCCTTCGAAGGTCGAGACGGCGGTGGCGCAGTGCTTGAATGCGAGGCCTCGACAGTGGGATTTGCTTTATTTGCTTGTAAGACTGGCTCTATTTCCTACGTTACTCGATATGGTTTATGTGGGGAAAACACTGACTTCTTTATGTTAGGACATGATATCGTCCTATTCGACTATCAAACAGACACCCTGCGCAAAATGCGCCAAGATGACCGACAGCACTGCAACCCTTCCCACCATTCGGAAGCCATCTTCTACTCCCCAAGAACAGGGGAGTCAAACCTGGGAAGCCTATCACCAAGGCTGTGCCGAGTGAAGGGACAACAAAGGAAATATCACAGAAAGTAAAATTATCGATGGAATGTTCCAGCTCAACAATTCCAAGACGCCTCAACATCTCAAATATATATCAGTCGATCCGAGACTCATCAACCGCATCGGTGGCATATCGCGGGTATAATCAGTGCAAGTTCCTCGGAATAATCAACCAACACAAAGAAAAACAAAGGTGCATTGGCATCACACCTACTCCTCCACATCCAACCTTGCCGGGAAAAAACTGGCCACTTTCCCCTCAACAAGTGGCTCAAGCACCCTACGGCCGGGACGACGACGAGAGCCGTGCTCGTCCTTGGCAGCTCTCATGACCGTAACTCCCGAGGTCCCTTCCACCAACAACTGCCACCACCACGGTGGACTATCCTTGCGTCTGACCAGGACTAAGTCTTCTTCCTCGTACCTAGAGGATGACGATGACGATGATGACGGTCGCTGCCGTCGTCCTGACGTCGAGGAGCCAAAAAATGGCATTGTTGTGTTCTCCTCTCGCTGTTTGCCTTTGTTTCTCGACCTTCTCTTCCTGTGACTGCTGGTAGCGTTGTAGTTGGGGTTCCAGAAACTTGACATTTCGTTTGCTTTATGACTGGACTGGTCTTGCGAGGTGGTCGATAAGGAATTGGTGTCACTAGAGTGACTCAACGATCGGGAAAGAAAGCTGAAGTCTAGTCAAAGACACAAAGACAATATCGAATGTGAGAGACTCAGAACAGAGAATCAGATGTACCTATCAATGACGCGAAAATCGACATTAAAAACGAGAAAAGCAGATTCTATTTATGCTCTCAGCAGTCCATGCAGATCCATCTGAGTGCTTGAATTTTGCTCATCCATTAATTGAGGTTATCTCCTATATTTCCAAACAATTGGACCCGCATGTATCTCGTATTCCTGTAACTTTGTGAAACCTTGTTTGTGAGACATCAACTGAGTTCAATTGATGGATGCAACTGTATACCAAAGTCAAGAATAGTTAGTAGCATAGTACTATACCGTAGGTGTTGGTGTTTGAGCAAACGGCGAGAGCCGTATCAATCATATCTATAAGTCTCACTACCCACTTGACTCGATCAATCAATCTTTCGAATCTTTCCATTGGGCGCAATACGTACAGACTGTACTATGCAGCTACTTCACAAGAGTTAGTATTATGTTTAAGTGAGATACCACATGCTACTAGTAGTCGTATATAATGTACATAGAAAACGAACCCAGATATCGGGATATTCCATACATATATATACATATATCTCACACTCATTTTGAATCGATGTCATGAACGACTTAACTAATCATAGTCATCCGTTTAGTCATCTGTTGGAATAAAAGAAATGATGTCATATCATCCTTACAAAATTGACTTCAAGCGTCGAGTGTAGTACAGGGAACCGATATATCATAGGTATTATCTTCATTAGAGGGCATGAATGAGATACTCATACTCCGCTTCTGTGGGAACCCGTTACGGGACATTCCTTTTGAGTACGAATCGTTGAAGTAAGTATCCTAATACTTTCGGGTTATTCTCTTCTTCGCTTTCAGGCATCAATGTTGGGTGTCATGTTGGTTGGGTTGGTGGTAGTATGATGAGGGTGGATTGTTCCAGCATTTACTACTACGTAGTAATAGTATGGATTCTCGGTGCCCGTGGAGGGGGATATACATAAGTTTTAGTACCACATTATCTTTCAGTAAGGTTGCATTATGAATTTGCTCGTTCTATTCTACTTTACTGCTGTAGTAGGTAGTATAGATTAATCTTGAGGAAGTATCCGATACAGTCCAGATGAGTATGTATACATACATCCATGCCATAATTGCAGAGAACATTAAATATAGACAGGCCAAGTGGAGATACAATCAACATGTCATAATCACCGCATGCACACACTATTACACTGATATCCCGCTATTGCTGCGCTTCAAAGGAGTGAACAAAGGTTAAAAATATAGAGGAACTTCCCAGCCATTATGTCAAATCAGAAATAAAAACTCGCAAACGCCAATCCAACCCAGCTGATAGATTGCTGTCATCATAACTTGAAACGAAATTCGCTTTGCTCAATGCAACATTCTAATGCATAAAAATGTTTCTTTTTGTCGTCGTCATCCGGAGATTACACTCACGTGGAGAAGAGACCGAAGCCACCGGCGAACCAGCTGAAGGACAGAACGGTGATGGCGAACATGCCAAAGGTGAATTTCATTCCTAACCGTTCGAGTTCGGAGAAAGCGCCGCTGCAGGTAGCGCAGACAAATCCTGTCAAAGTTAGCGGACTGATTACGATATACGGAGGAGATAACATACCATTGAGCGGAGTGTACGGCTGGGAGCTGTACATTCCGAAGGTGTAGCTGCTAGCAGCGCTGAGATAGCCGGCACTGGCCGTCTCAGTGATGCCCTTGCTGGCATCCCACACGATCAACGTGTACGACGCTGTCAACAACGGGACAGTCGCGTTGGCCTGGTACTTCTTGGTGTCCCAGACCACCTCTCCGGTGGGCGACATGGTCATGTTGGATGAGATGGTGTAGGTGGCGCTGTTCAAACTGCACGAAGCGACAACATTGACAGCAGTTGGGCTGATGGTCAAAGAGGTGTAGTTCCATTTCAATGTCACATAATCGCCGATCTTATAGTAGGTTGTGGCATCCGCGCTGGGAATAAGCATGGAGATACCACCGGCACCGGCAGCGGAGTTGATAGAAACACTCGTTGTGCTGTTCGAAGAAGAGCCAGAGGACTTGCCGCTAGCAGTGCCTGTTCCGGTAGCTGACTTGGTATTGGTGCCGGTGGCCGTGGCCGTGGTGTCGGTTCCTGTTGCGGCGGCGGTCTTGGTCGCTGCCTCGGTCTTCGATGCACTCGCGGTGGTAGCGGCGGCTCCAGTGGTTGCGCTCTCAGCTGCGGTGGTATCTTCGCGGGTCAGCAACACATCATACACGAATCACGATGAAAGTAGGATAAAAGCGAAGGGATGTAGGACTGACCAGCTCGTCGCAACAATTCGCCATGCGGCGGCCATGGCCAGGCGGAAGTTACCGTCCCCAGCACCAAGAGGAGGCACAAAACAAACAGACGAGACATGGAACGCATCTTGAAAAGTCCGATTGTAGTGTTGTGCAGTTGTGTTGACTGAAAGGCAGAGGGGTCGGTTGACTCCCTTGGCAAAATTCAGGGTCCGATCGACGTGGACCCTTTCCCGTATACGGCGGCAGAAGCGACAGGGGTATTTGTAACTGCGATGAACTGACGAGCAACAGACGAAGCTACACCAGGATGGCGAAGATGAGCCGTCGAGCACGATAAGCGATGATCAAATCCAGCGATGAAGCGATACGGGCTGCAGAGGAGGTGTTTTTTTCAGGCCAGCGGGACTGAAACATGCAGATCGTCCGATAGATTCTCGGCAGGGTCCAACGAGGGTCTGGGGGAGAGAGATGTAAACAAAGCGAGCGACAGGGACCGATCTGATTCCAGCGAACCTGGGGTGGCAGATAGATGAAAAGATACGACCGATCAAGCGATAGCGAAGGTCAGAAGAGACAAACGACAGACGAGCGAAGCATTGTCCGACCCGAGGGGGGGAAGAAAGAAAGACGAGGGCGAGAGACTAAAAGACCAGACGAGCAGCCATTGAAGGCGCGCCTTGCCCGATTGGGCCAGGGAGTGAGACACCCGGCTATTTTTGGCGGTACGCCTGAGGCATCCACTGCATCTGACCCGGTCGGGGATCATGATTTATGCCCTGGCCAGCAACTTTGTTTCACTTAGAATAGTCCCTTTGCCTCACTCGTCGCAGGTATAAAGTTTTGGCGAAAGAATCATCCCGGGTCTGTCCTTCTCTGACTATATCAGCTATCCATCTCGTCTCATTTTCTAGGTGCAAGTTCATTCCCCATACAGTCAGTCACAGTCATGGATTGTTGTAGAAATCAGTCTTTGGTGTCCCCGCAAAGCTGCGACACTAACCGGATCCCGGCAGCCACTATTGCCAATTATTGGCCACTACGATAAGCGAAGAGCGGATGAGAAGTACATCAATCTAGTTTACTTTTACTGTGGGTTTGCAGCTATCACTCCTGTCAATCATGAAGATTAGAGATAGTAGATAGTATAAATGCATGTATTTACGTGAGATTATCTAAACCAGATATTCCTGACTATGCAACATGCCACGCTTCGCGTATAGATAGATCACCTTCCTCCCCAATCATCAAAACTCATTCTCACTCATCATTAAGTATATTAACATTAGTAAGGGTCGATCATTTAACAGGCGTATTGTTACAGTGTGCATTCTCTTTCAGGCTGGGAGAGGCGCATATCCTCCCAGATCCTTCGGTCTCATGATTCATCAGTCACGCCACCCTCGTCATAGAGCCCCTGTTAAGGCACTGTGGCGAGGTCTAGACGTCGTGTCTTTAGGAAGTGTATTCGGGCGTCAGGTCGACAGTGCTGCAGGAGGACGGAATAGTGGGCTCCTCATAGCGGTAGATGTAGAAGAGCTGGGGTGCGTTGTGGTACCAGTCGCACACTACATGGCTGCAGTTAGTGGCACGTTCTGACAGTTTGTATGGTTATAAGTTCAGAGTCACTCACCTAGCCAGCCTCCGAAGCCATCCTGTGCCGACCACTCCAGGCCGGCAGAACCAATGGAGAAGTCATCATCGCCGTATCCAACATTGATCTGAACAGACTCCCATGCTGCCAAAAAATTAGTTTCCCGAAACTTCCATGTGGCAAGAGAAAACAAAACATGGAACAGGGGAAGGAACAGGAAGTCTAACCTGCATAGTTGTTCTGGACGCCCATCTTGAATCCCCAAGGGAAAGAAGTGCCCAGGTCGAACTGGGTGTGGGTGCCGTTCAGGAAGGCCGGGCTGGCCGTTCCGACGTCCGAGGTCAGCACGGCATCATTAAATCCCGCACCGGTGTGGTAGGCATAAACGTAGAGGTTGTTGTGGTCGTCATTGGTAGCGCCCGAGGTCTTGAGGTAGAAGGATTGGGTGGAGTTGCTGGACTGGCGGGGGTACAGCACCGGGCCAGCAGCCACAGTAGACGCCAACAGGGCAAGAGAGGCAAGGAACTTCATTGTGGATAGTGTGGGAGAGAGAAGGTGGATGAAGAAGTTGGTGAATTAAAATAGAAAGAATATGGCTCGTGGTTCGATCCTGAAATAGAACAGTGGATGTGGGAGAAAGGGAGGAGGATGGTGCGTGATAGATGAAGGCTGATATGGAGGGGGATGGCCAGCGTCTTTATATCGGACAGCCACCACGATTCTCCCCCACAGCCGCAGTTGGGGGGAACACGGGTGCACCGGCGCCAAAATGCCTACAGTTTACGGGAAAGTTGGAACGAGTGGAAGGGGATCCAAGGATAGTGCAGGGGCAGGACAAACTACCGACTAGACTAGGGAAAACTTTGCGCGAATCTGAGAATAGAAACTTGGGCGAATGCCGACAGGTGGAGGGGGCGGTTGGTGGTTGGTGGTTGGAGCTTGATTTCCCTCAAGCTGAGGAATACTTTTGAGTTGGCAGAATGAGAGGCAGGCAAAGAGGCAGGAACAACTGGAGGCAAATCCTCTGCTCCACTGCACTCTCGGACTGGCCGCCCTGGTCGCCACAGTCCGATTGGCTGATCCCGTTCTTGGCTGTGCTGGTGGAGGGACTTGAGCCGGACCAATCAGGGTTGGGCGGCGAATTCAACAGAACGGCTTGATTGGACAGGCACGGAATGAACGAGGATGGCGGGAGGAGACTGGAGTTATCCCCGCATACACACTTCACATACTCAGTATACCATAGTAGTACTAGTAGAGATAGAGAGATGGGAGTAAGTACTATTATTTCCTTTACCTCCATACTATGTCAAGTTAACAGCAAATCCCAACAGTGCTGATCTGACATGAGACAGACTGACTAACTAATTATCTTTCTATTTTTATTTTACCCACCAACAAGACTACTACTAATCTAATCCTACTCAAAACTTGTAAGCAGTCGATCTTAATCTATCGGCTGATCGGATTTTCACACACTCTCTCTCCTCTCCATGCCCGATGCCCGACCGATCCCTGCCCAGTCAGATGTTTGACTTTTTGTCTCAGATTTTCTTCTCCCTCGGCTCGGATTTTCTACCGTTATCCATTATTCATCCATCTATTCTGTCGTCATATGCCTCGCGGATTGGAGGATCGTCTTCTCTTTCCACAATAGTAGACAATGGAATTGTCGTCATTACTAAAGACAACAATTGTACTATGATGCGTAGAGTATATTCAGTGACAATGATCAATGCGTTCCCCCTGAAGCCGATCACGACCATCATCACATCACGTAACTGGATAATAAATTTCAACCTGCAGAAAAAAGTGGACTTTGACTTCCCGATCACACCACCACTCCGATTGGTTTTGAAACAACTCAAGACGTTCTTACTTACAGCGTCCTAGTAAGAAGTAAGTAGTACTAACTGTCTACAGTAGACTTTCGTACCTGCACCTTAACAACCCTACTCCGTACTACACCGTGGCTATGCTATCCTCAAAAATCCAGACAAGTCATATCCATCAACGCCGTGCAAGATCTACTCTGTAACTGACATCATGATTCCCCCTCCCCGTTCCATTCCCTCCCCTTCTCTGGTTCACACTATTGTCTTTCATGACACAAACCCACACCGAACCGTCTTGAAAGAAAAGAACGATCCCTATCCATGGAACCCGTTCGTTTATCACGTTCTTTTCCCGCGGGGTGATAATATCCGCATAAGTTACTTCTTTGGTCGTGGGAAACGTCGTTTAGACTACTTACTGTAGCTGAAAAAGAACTCAATAATCAGTCTGTCTATAAACGGTTGTACGTCATAGAGATTATGGTTACGTCGTTTGCTTGGGTTTTTTGATGATCAGTGCATTCTGCTGTACAACAATGATGATTACTATAGATAGTAGAATTACACGAAGGGGCATTGGATCGGCGAATTGCTTGTTTCAACTACTGACTCTCAGCCCTTCGGGACATGGGTATCCTTGGTCTTTCTAGTATTGTTATTTTACCTGAGGTATACAAAACAGCAATTAATCTATCCATCCATGGTTGCCCAACGCCTAACATGATCTCATATCTAGTATACAATATGCGATTATGTGGCAATCATCGTCGCTTGGCATATTCCGGCTTCAGGGCCCATTTCCCGCGCCCATTTCGTCCTCCCTTGTCCAGCACGGCTATTGTCTTCAGCATCTCCTTGAACTCGGCCGACCGCTGCGGCGTGGTGCAGTAGCGGTTGAAATGATCGATCAACATTTGGGTATACACTGACCCGCCCTGGGCTGTGATGAAGTCTCGAATCATCGTAATGAAATCGACCCCACTGGGGGTGCGTGATGGCGCGGGACTGTTGCTGCTGCTGCGCGGGGACGGTGTGCGCGCAGAGAGATTCGCCAGGATGCTGGCTGAGGATGGTCCGGCTACTGCTCGTCTGGCGGCGCTACTGCTCCCTCCAAATGCAGGTCGACTGGGTAACTGTTCTTCGGGTTTCCCAGCCAGGCCGAACTGGCCCGTCCAGGTTGGAGTGCCAATGGGGACAGACCGCGCTGCCTCGCCCGCTCGCCGCAACTCCTCTGCGGCTTCAGCTGCCACCCGCTTCGCTTCGGCCTCGATTATCTTGGGGTCCGCTCGAACCACGCGCTTGCCGTTCACGATTTGGTCGTGCTCCAGCGCTGAATGGACCCCGGATCGGGCAAAGATGCCCTCCATGATGCGGGACTCCGAGTTGGCACCGGGAGTGCCCTTCTCCTGCTCGCTCTGTTGCTCTGGTTCTCCCTGGAATTTTTCGACTGCGGCCACGCCAACGACCTTGCTGATGTCTTTCTTCTCTTCCTGCGCGCTATGTGAAGCAGCAGATGATTTGGTTGCTGCGTTGGACCTGCGCGAGGCGCCATCACTGTCTTCATATGTGACGTCCGCATCTTTGAAGATCTTACTGGTTTCGGTGGGACCTTGCCCTTCGTCTCCCAGGGAGAAGAGATCATGGAGATCGCTCAGCTGGAAAGTCTGGCGTTGCTTGGGATCTCGGAGAATTTTATTCGTAAGAAATTGCTTGAAGATCTGGCGATGATAGATCTTCTCTTCTATAGTGCCCGCTGTCATAAGTCGGTAGACGGTGACGTCGCGCTTTTGTCCTAGTCTCCAGGCCCGCTCCCGCGCCTGCACATCGGTCGAGGGATTCCAATCGGGATCGTATATGATAACCCGATCAGCACCCGTTAGATTCACACCTAGCCCACCAACCTTAGTGGTAAGTAGAAAAACATGTAGGCTTGGGTCATTGTTGAATTCGTCCACCATAGCTTGCCGGTGCTGAATGGGCGTAGTGCCATCCATTCGACGGTAGTTGAATCCGGAAAGTGAGTTCACAAACTTCTCCAGGATATCAAGCATGATTCGATGCTGTGTGAACAGCAGAGTCTTGTGCCCGGTATCCTTCCATAGCTCCAGCAGCGACTTGACGACCTGCATTTTGCCAGACTTTGATCCGCCACCATATCCTGCCGTCGAGGACATCAGCTTATGGTTTTGTAGATCGGGATGGTTGCAAATCTTTCGTAATATATCGACACCGAATAAGACTTGTCGACGCCCGTTGAGGATGGATTTCATCTCCTCGGAGCCCAGGAACGCCTCATATGCTTGTCGCTGAGGCTTTGTCAACTTGCAGAACAGCACTTGCTCACTCTTCTTAGGCAGATCCGCCGCAACGTCGATCTTGAACCGCTGCAAAAGGTAGGGACTAATAGCATCCTTGAGGGTCTCGGCACATTTGGCAGCCGTCTGGACTTGCAAATTAGATGCATTTGCGTACCCACCCTGGCGGATGGGGAACTCAAATTGATTCCTGAAGTTCACCAGAGTCCCCAGACGCATTGGAAAGACAAAATCGAACAAAGACCAGAGCTCGGTAAGATTGTTCTGCATCGGGGTACCGGATAGGATAATGCGATGGGGTGTTCGGAGTTCCTTGCAATGGATAGTAATGGAGGTGTTCGGATTCCGAATCTTGTGCCCTTCATCCAGAACAGCGCAGCCCCATTCAATCGGGATCACGAGAGAAGCATAGGTCTGTAGGCCCGAATAAGTAGTGACCAGTACATGCCCTTCTTCTACTACACGCTTGACGACCTTCCTTGCTGCTTTCAAGCCACTGGGCATGCCACGGGAACTCGAGGAGTTCCATGACTGAGACAGAAGAGCATCTTCTCTACTGCTCTCATTGCGAATGTTGACCATTCCACTACCGGACGTGTGCAGGATGGATACTCGAAAAGGAGGCCACCAACGGTGGAACTCATTCACCCACTGCTTCATGACCGTGGCAGGACATACGACAATGACCGGCCTCGTCAACTTTTTGCTGTAATGGAGACCAGCAAGGAAAGATATGACTTGAATAGTCTTGCCAAGACCCATCTCATCGCCGATGATGCCACCTACTTGCTGTTGTTGTAACTCCCATAACCACTGTACTCCGGTCTTCTGATAATCAAACAAAAGGGGATGTATATCACCGGGTATTCGGTAGCCATTGTCATAAGGCATATCTGCAACTGTCGGATGAGGCATGAACCATTCTTCCTGTTCATCATGATCCACCACATCCACAGTGTCTCCAGCAGCAACCTCTTCGGGTCCATGGCTTGCAGTACGAGCTTCAAGCGCTCTTTTCCTAGCAGCAGCCCTTCGACTGACCCAATATTGAAGCCTAGTTTGATAGAGCTGTTCATTTCCATCATCCATCCCGCTGAAATCTTCAACATCACCTGAAGACTTTGGAGCCTTTACCGGCTTTGCCGTACGTTTTGGCTTCTCTTCAGGTAGAAATTCTTCTTCATCTTCCGATCCAGACCACTGCCTTTCAGATTCAACATAGCTAGCAGATTCATCCTGATCATCAAAATTATCTTCGAAGGATACCTTGGTGTCTTGTTCAAGATCTTCCTGTTCGTCATCATGAGACTCGCGGTCTATCTTTCGGCGCTTACTTGCTTGAGAGGTAGGCGCTTCATCCACTATGCTGGATTCGGGAGTCTCGTCGAACCCGAACCCAGGTCGTACGAGATTACGATGTGAAACAGTTGACCGGTTTTTCACCTGCTGCAATGCTTCCCTTTCATCGCGTTCGTCCTCTGCATCAATCAAGGCATCCTGAAGACTGGCAAGAGGACCATGGTTTGGCCCTGAGCTCATGTTGGAAAATGGCGTAATCTTTCCCGTTCGAATGAGATAGTCCCGGCGCGACTCATTAGGCATGCGGCCAGTCCCGGTGGTCTGAGAACCAGCTTCTTGTCCTTGATGCCTTTCGTCCATTCTTTGCTGAATTTCGGTAAGGTCAGTTGCCAATGCCGCATTGCGGCTTTCCAGCTTCTCAATCTCATTTCTGATACGGACTCTCGCAGATGTGCCAACTGGCTGCGACAAACGTTGATGCAATTTCAAG